ATCCCTCGTGTATTCCTAAGGCGAAGGTCACGCTCAGCCCCCACATGCTGATGTTTAACTCAAAGGGGGCTAGCCCAAAAGAAGAAAGCAGGTGCTAGGCAAAGTGTTTTGAGATTAGGAAGCAACTTTGAACACATCAAAGTGGCGGGGATTTGTGCCACATGGTGTCTCTACACATTTCATTGAAGGTGAAACTTCTTTGCATCCTTTAACAGAGGAGACAGACAGTACATTTTCCTTTTCCCACAGTAGGTAACGAGGCATGGTTGGCGGACACGGGGACGAAGGAGATGGAGAGCTATGAGAGTCAGCTGTGGTGGAGAGTCAGCTGTGGTGGGGAGGTGTGTAAATCAGATGGGGCTGAGAGTCACCTGGGCGGGTCTAGGAAGGCATTTTCAGCGATGTTGAACTGGCAGGACGAACCTCCCTGGATGGATGGCCCTTCCGGTGGGCAGGGATCCGGGCTGAGTAACAGGAGCGAGGATTTGGGGCGCCCAGGCATCTCATTGCTTCTTGGCTGTGATTAGCGTGACCCGCCGTTCTCTTGCGCGATGGGCTGCAGTCCTTCTCACACTATGAGCCAGACTAAACCTTCGTTCTAGAACTTTTGTCAGAGCAATGAGAAAAATCAACTAACACAGAAACCAGGAACGGAGAGGTGGAGCCGTTGCTGAGATAAACCTGACCCTGGGGCCGACCGACCTTTGGAACTGGTTTAGGGTGGAATGTGGAGGAGTCTGGTGCTGCTGGCGACAGCAGAGCTGAGTGTGGCACCGCAGAGCGCGCGGCTGCCATTCGGGTGGGTGAGGAAGAGTCTCAGAGCGCTGAGAGAAACGTGGATGGTGGGGTTTCAGAGGGGAGCTAGGACTCTGTTGGGAACTGGCCTAGAGATCTTCACGTCACATTCCGGTCAGGAATCCGGCTACAGTCTTTCTTCCCGTACCCTGAGAACACGAGCGAGGTGGAATTAAGGCACAGAAACATACCGGACAGTGGTTAGCTGTCCTGTGCTGTTGGCTGGGTGAAGAGGGCGCTCTCCTGCCAGACTCCAGTACGTTTATTCTCACCCTCCAGAACTCCCGCCTGAGCCAACTCAGTTACACTCTCTAGAAACACCCTCACAGACACACTCACAGTCTCCTAAACAGTCTCTGTCCTGTCAGGTTGACGACCAAGATCAACCATCATAAATCATCCCTTGACAACCTGACACCCAAACACACTCTTTTTAAAGCATGAAATTCCACTTCTGGTCCCTAAAGTCTTACGTTCATATAATGCAAAATGCATTTAGCCCATTCCTAAATGTCCCCAAACTAGAGTCACCAGAGAAAGAGGCTCAGCTGAAGAACCGCCTCCATCAGACTGGCCTGTGGGAACATCTACGGGGCATTTTCTTGATTAATAATTCATGTGGGAGGGTCAAGCCCACTGTGGGCAGCCCTGCCCCTGGGCAGGTGGTCCTTCACTGTGTAAGGAAGCAGGCTGAGCAAGCCAGTAAGCAGCACTCCTCTGTGGCATCTGTCTCAGCTCCTGTCGTGACTTCCCTTGAGGGCCGACTGTAGGCCAAGGAAGTCCTTTCCTCCCCAAGATGCTTAGGTCATGGTGTCTGTCACCGCAATCGTGGCCTGAGGTAAGTCCACCAGAGAACACATACGGACATTCTAAAAGCTGAAAAGAAAGTCTGTATCGCCTGCTGGCAGCTGCACAGGGAACTTGCCCAACTCATGGAGCCTTGGTCCCACAGTTCTTCTGGCTTTTATACACAACATCTACTTCCTGTTTTGCACACCTCTGTTAGCAAGAAGCAGAATTACAGAAGCCAAATAGCAAGGTTAGTACAGTTAGGGACTTTCCTGGATCCTGGGACCACGGTCTAGGTCTTTGATGGATTGGGTCTTTGTTCCCATTTCGGCTGGTGTTGGGGCCTACATGTTGGGTGACTCTATTTTGTGTCAAGTTAACAAAAACTAACCAGAAGTATGTGTATAGTATAGTTGCTTAATGATGTCTTGACCTCAAGAATATATAAAATGACAGTCCTAACATTTTAGAAGACAAGTCATTAAGCTGCTTATCAGTGCTGGTATTAGTTGGAGTTCTTGAGAGTAATAGTACTTATCACATGAATACACACACACACACACACACACACACACACACACACACACACACACGACTGATTAGAATGGCTTACAGGCTGAGATCCACCCGGTCCAACAATGATTGTCTATCAACCGAAGGACCAAGAACCTAGTGGCTGCTGGGTCCAAGAGGCTGGATGTCCAGGTGGTCTTCAGTATACACTGGAATCCCGAAGAAGTAAGCTCAAATGCCAGTGAAGAATGGTCTTACCAGTGAGAGCTGGAGCAAGCATCCAAGCTTCCTTCTTCCAAGTCCTTTATATGGGCTCCCAGTACATGTGGCCCAGATTTAAGGTGGCTCTTCCCACTCTAAAAGATCCAGATTAAAAGTGTATCTGGTTAAGAGCATTGCCTGCTATTCCAAAGGTCCTGAGTTCAATTCCCAGCAACCACATGGTGGCTCACAACCATCTATAATGAGGTCAGGTGCCCTCTTCTGGCCTGAAGGCATACACACAGACAGAATATTGTATACTAAATAAATAAATAAATAAATAAATAAATAAATATTTTTTAAAAAGTGGATCTTCCCACTTCAGATGATTTAATTAAAACAAACAAACAAAAAGCCCAAACCCAGGGGTGTACCCAGACATTTCAGTTTTAGTTAATTCCAGATGTAGTCAAATTGACAACCAAGAATAGCTATCATAGGGCTTATGAGAATTTGTAACATTCCTCACAAAATACCAGAAAAGCTTTTGAGTTATCATTTAAGTATTTTATTGTTGCTGTTATTATTATTGTGTGTACGTGTGAATGTGTGTGTGTATGCACACACGTGTGTATTGTGCATATGTTGGTGCACCTATACCATAGCACACGTGTGAAGGTCAGATGACAACTCCGTGGAGTTTTCTCCTTACACCTTTACACGGGTTCTGGGAATTGACCAACCCCCTTTTTTTTAAACCTAGCTCCTATATTAGACTTCAAAGGACCAAACTAGAACGAAGCCACTAGCGCTATGTGACAAGCAGTCAAACTGAACTTTAAAAGCAAAGCGCACAGCAGGGAGGGAGCTCAGGCCAAGGATCAGCTTCAAAGGCCCACTGGTCCCAGCAGCCTGCTCCTGTCAGATTGGCCCTACCCCTTAAGGGTTCCTCAGCTTCCCAAAATGGCACCAGCAACTAGGAAACGAGTATTTAAACCGTGGTCTATGGGAGCACTTCACAATGAGACTGGAACACAGGCAATACCATAAAAGGTTCTGGACAAGGGCCAGGCTCCGACTAAAAGGGGTACTTGATTCTGTCACTTGGGCTGTCTTTCCTCGGAGCATAAGTGCATTTAAATTTAACTTGACGATCCATCTTGGACGCCAAGGTTCATTACCTCATCCCCAGGTTTAAAGCTGCACCCTCCTGGGCTGCTAAGATGGCTAGAGAGGGCACCCTCTCCAGGGCTGGCAACCTGAGCTGGGTCCCCAGAATCCACGGGGCGGAGAGGGCTGACCCTGCAGTGGTCTCGGCCCTTCCCCCTCACACTGGCTCTCCACAAGAAATAACACTGAGAATGCAGTGCCGTACACTTTGTGCTGGAGACGGCTCAGCAGCAGTCAAGAGCACTGACTGCTCTTCCAGGGGACGTGGGTTCCATTCCCGGCACCCACACGGCAGATCACAACTGTCTGTGGCTCCAGTTCCAGGGGATCCGATGCCCTCTGCCTCTGTGGGTACACTGCATGCATATGATGCACAGTCACACATACACACAAAATACTCATACAAATAGTTGAAATAAATTTTTAATTGTACACGTCTCTGGCTGTTTAAACTTTCTTATGCAACTCAGCAGTTCTGCACATCGGGGTTTGTCCCTGAGACCCAGATAAAGTCACCAAACCTGCCTTCCTGTGCTGTCCTCCTACAAGGGGTATTTGCACTTACACAATCATGCACATTTTTAAAGCATTTATGGATAAGGGCTGGAGGGATGGTTCAGCAGCTGCTTTTCCAGAGGGTCCAGATTTGATTTCCAGGACCAACGTGGCGGCTCAGAGTAGTCTGTAACTGCTGTTCCAGCGGACCCGACACCCAGGGGATCTGACACCCTGTTCCCGTCTCCACAGGTACTGCACTCACGTGATGCATAGGCAAAATAGAAACAACTAAAGTAAAAATAGATCTTAAAAAATAAATAAAAAACCATGGATTCTTTGAAACAAGTCCATGAAATCCTAGGTCCTACACATTCGATTTAAAGATAAAATAAACCACATCCTACCTTTGTCTTATTAAACCATATTCTAAGTGTAAGTTTTTATTTCCCCAATGTCTGGATCGTTATGAGTACTCACTGAAACACAACTAGTTCAAGAAATAAAAGAATGGGCAGAGGCATTAAAGACAGTCAAGGCCACACAGAGAGACCAGTCTCCATAACAAACAAACGAACAAACACCCCAGCAAGTTCTGATCTGCAAGGGGACTTGCTCAGTCTGAAGCTGTGCTCTCCTGTCCTAGCTCAGGGATGTCCTTTCTTCTAATTCTGTTCTGCTAGCACACTAGAAAACCCAGCTGGTTATGTAGAACTGTACTCCTGACCCTGTGAGTCCGGGCTCTCTCCTGCCCGAGATGGGGCGCAGTGAACTCAGCTCCAGACTCCTCCAGCGCATCCTTAACAGTGGAGGGTGATCACAAAGCCTACAGGAAATAAACAAACTCCTCTAGCTATCTTTTTTCTTTTTAAAGATTTATGAACTTTATGTGTATGAAGGTTTTGCACCCTTGTATGTAAGTGTACCAAATGCCTGTGGCCGCCACTTATGTGGGTACTGGGAATTGAACCCTGGTTGTCTGGAAGGTAAATAATCTTAAAAAAACAAAAACAACAACAACAAACTTTTATTGATTCTTTGTGAATTTCCCATCATGCACTCCAGTCTGATCCTACTTACCTCACTCCACCACCAGCACCACCGCCAACACCACCACCAAGACCACTGCCGTGGCCGCTGCCGCCACCATCACCACCAGAACCACTGCCATCACCGCCCAGCACCACCAAACAACAACTAAACCACACACACACAGTCTTGTCGCGGCGGAAGCTGCAGTGTGGCCCACTGAGACACAGTTTACCCATTAGTCCGTTCATACTTGTAAATATCATCGGTCTGGCTGGAGGCCTTTGGTTTCTGCTCTCTCTTGGATACTCTGTTGTTGTCCGGTGTCATGGAGATCCTGTTGTTTTGGATCTGTAGTTTTCGTCCCCTTCACGTGCTCCAAAAGTTCATAGATTCCGTGGATGCCGGGGTGGGCCACCTCACAGCCCTGGTTCTGGCCCAGCTGGTAGCTGGGTTAGCAATTGCCCGTATCACTACTGGGTGAGCTCTCCAGCGCTCTCTCGGCCACCTCACCCTCTGCAGCCTGCAGCAAGGTCCTCAGATCTGGGTCCCCCCCTAGCATGTCTCCAGGGCCAGCTGTTTTGCCCAGCAGGGTACAGGGCCGTCTCTCCTGACTGATATAGGTGTGGTGGGAGGGGAGCAGGGTCAGCTCTCCGGTTCTCACTCCCTCAGGGTTGGCTTGGCTGCATCCCTACCACAGGATCTGCTCTACTGTGCAGCCAGGTGAAGTACATGCCTGTGGCAAGGGGTGTGTGTTGGGGGGAGGTCACCCCTGTGGTACCCAGTGAAGGGTGGGGCTGGCTCAGTACAGCATGGTTCTAATGACCTCTGGGCCAACACAGGTCATGACCGTCACCACTGACCCCAGCTGCAGCAGGATGACAGACCAGACATGTCCCTTAGCAGCGCTTGGGCTGGGCTGCCACCGAGGCCCCCGTGGTATCACAGGCCATATCATCTATTTTAAACAGAAAGGGGTTTAAGAGAAAATCAGCATTATATGGACTGGACAGGTTATATTTAGGAATATATATGCATACAATAATAATTAGTGGAAAAAAAGCCATGAATTTGAAGGTGAGCAGGGAGGGTTTAGAGGGAAGGGAGAGACATTGTAATTATATTATAATCTCAAAAAAAAAAAAAAAGAAAGAATTAGATCCTTACAAAACCACTGAACAGTCCACAGATATAGAAAACAGGAATTAAGGCCACTGTCAGTTTGACCACAAGGGCAGGCAGGAAACAGGTACCGAGGCCCTAAGACTGGGCGAGACTGCTCCAGACAACAGGCCGCACTGGCGCGGCTGCCCAGATGGCCTTTGCCTTCTTCCCGCCTTCCAAATTTTGACAAAAAAAATGCTTCTGAATGACAGACCTCCACTTTAAAACCTAAAAAATTTCACTTGCAGGTTTTCCTCTCAGTGGTTTGGGGGGGGGGGGGTGGTAAAACAATGCCGACAGCCTGGAGTCAACTGAACACACACTTCATACATTAACGTGTGTTCAGTCGGATGGAAGTAACTGCGGATTGTCAAATGGTCTAAGAGAAACTGAATTTATACTCCTAGGGCGAAGTTCTGGAGCCCAGAGAGAAAAGTTATAAACGCTTGCATAACAATTGTGCTGGCTGTTCTTGCTGCCCACTTGACTATATGTGGAATTAAATAACACCCAGAAATGGCTGGTGGGCACACCTGTGACCTGTGAGGGATTTTTGCTTAATTAAATCATTCTAAGTGAGAAGCCCCACTTCTAACAGATCTTTGAGGTGGGAAGACCCACCTCTCATCTGGCCGCATGCTCTGCTGGCAGCCTATATAGACACAGAAGGAAGCTCTGCTCTGTGCGGGCTTGCTGCCCTCGCCAGCAAGTCCCTCCTTCACTGGCCTTCCAGCCTATTTCAGGTCTGGCGTATATGAAGACCAGCTGAGACAGTCAGCCTCGTGGACTGAACAACTGCTGGATTGCTGGGCTTTCTGTTTATCTTTTAAATATATTTTTGAAAAAATCCATTTTCATTTTATATAGCAACCCCAGTTCCCCCTCTGTCCCCTTCTCCCACTGACTTTCTGTTTATAGGCAGCCGCTGTTAGATCAGCGGATAGAGGGGGTTGGGGTGGGGATCATGATCCAGTCTGAGCTCTGTTACTCTAGAGAACCCCGACTACAACAGTTATAAAGCGGTAGAGCACTTGTGTCTGATCCCAGCCCTGGAGGGACAATAACAACGCAGTGAGACCCACCAAAGGTCTAAGCACACGTGCTGGGCCACGGTAGCTATTTGCATTATGGAAATGTTTATGCAAGTTGGCAGATAGTGCAGCATTACTTATAAAAACAAAACTCTGAACAGGAGCAATTCAAAGTTAGAACGCTCCACAGTCAGGCAGAGATCTGAAAAAGATGCTCCCCTATGGAACACACACCTGCAAATCTGTCTGCATCACCGAACTTCACACAGACAATATATTGGTTTTGAAAATCATTAGATATTGAGTTGATGGAAGTATTACAGGCTCTTCTTTTTCTTCTTTCTGGCTCCAATTCAGAGTCAAAAAAGAGAAAAAACTCAGAAAAATTTGATAACTATGTATTTATTTTCTTAGAATGTTCATGATTATTTTTGGTTTCTAACTTGAGCATCATGATCTCAAACCTATAAAACTGTGTTCTTTAAGAGTATCTTGCAGGTAATATACACAGTAAAATCATATTAATAATTGGAATTATTTTATACATTAAAAATTATTTCAGTTTTAAGAAACTGCACTTATAGGAAATAATTCTATCATACATACATTTACAGTTTTTAGTTTTATAATCTCTTCATTCAAAATTATTTTGCCCCAAAACACTGTATTTCAGTGTAAGTATCCAGTAAGTAATTAGTATGTATATAGGTGGCTGTAAAAACCACCCATATCTCTAACAGATTCTGCTCCAGAGGTGAACTTCCTGGTTAGAAAGCACTTAAATGTTGTATCTTGTACAAAGCAGCAACAGTATTTAAATTATTAGAAATGGTAAATCCAATAATAAAGTCCCTTAAGAGTATACTTGAAAAGCACATTATTCCATAAAATATTTACATTGTTTAAATTATAACAGCAACGTCTTCTGTTTTAGTTGAACATATTAACAAAACCCTTAAACAGTAATAAAAAAGCTACTCTTCCTTAAGAAAAGAAACTTTGTCCTTTGATTTATTCAGCATTTTTATATCATCCAGCAGTTTTCTGGGTGTTAAAATATGTGTAGAACCTGGTGGAAGAAATTGTAAATTTTCAGAATTAGAAAAACTTCTTTGGCTTAAAATCTTGTCCTTCCCATACACCAATGCCCGGTGTGTTTGAACAACACCTCCGACAGAGTTTTTACAGAAGCCGCACTGGCCATGTCACTGAGCATGCTCAGCGACTCTTCAGAAACACAGTCCTCCCATCTTAGTGTTTTGTGTGATCTGTGCTACAGACTGGTGTCCAGAAAAGAGAAAAACGGGGATTTCCTGTCCTCGGCACAAAACTGTAGCAGCCGTCGTCTGCGGGCAGAGAAGCCTGGCACACAGCCCTGCAGCGCTGGGACTCAAAGCCTGGCACACAGCTCTGCAGCACTCTGGGCTAGGAGACTTTACCTATGAGTGGCTTCACTGGGAAAAATTCTAATTGACTTCACTATTAGTGTGTATGCACACGCATGCATACATGCAATACATGTGTGCCGTGGCACAGCATGGAGGCCAGAGGATGACTCTCAGGAGAGTGTTCTCTCCCAACACCATGGGCTCTGGGCCTGGAGGCTGCCGGACTCGCACGGCAAGCATTTTTTATCCATTGCTAGCCCAGGCTGGTTTTCAAACTCAGTTCCACACAGGCCTCATGTTAGATCCATATATGTGAAAACAAACACTTCTGAAGTAAAAATGCATTAATATGTCACAAAAGTACTTAATGACCACAGCAAATAATATCAGAAGGCACAGTTTTAAAGGAACAAGCTCAAGCCCCTAAAAACAGGATATTTTAAAATAAAATTATCAAAATACCAACTAGGAAGAAAAAAACTTCAGGAATTTTACAAAACATTGCCTTAAACATTTAAGAAACAGAAAAGACAGAAGTCTTACCAATAATAACCTCACAGGATTTATGTGCCTGAGAAACTTCATAAGCACAGCGCATCTCAGAGTATGTAATTCCTCCAATCACAAAAATAATCAGCCTGGACCCATTTTTCCGGTCCAGCTCTAAATAGCTAGCTCTGGGTTTCTGGCGAGCACTAGAAAGTAAAAAATAAAACAAACACATTATAACCATTCTTAAACTTACCTTTGGAACCAGCTGTCTTGATCTTAATGAAGTAAGGAATCAGGGTACAATTTCACCACAGTAGGCAAAGGCAACCGCTTCACTCCAGATTTCAATTTGAATAAATCACTTACAGTTTTATTTGGGAGGATAAGATAGTAGGACAGAGAACTCAAGGCTGGCCTAGGAGATGGATACACACACACACACACACACACACACACACACACACACACACACACAACACCTTAATTCTAAAACCTAAAATAAAAACCACTAAGTCTAGCTCAGCATTTTTACTTATAAGGCTAATGTTATTTTATTTTAATGTTTAAAATATTTTTAAATTTTCATTTTGTGTACATGGCTGTTTTGCCTACATGTAAGTCTGTGCACCACATGTATGCAGAGAAGGGTATTGGATCCCCTGGAACTGGAGTTACAGACAGTTGTGAACTGTCACGTGGGTCCTGGGAATTGAACCTGGATCCTCTGGAAGAGCAGCTAGAGCTCCTAACCTCTGAGCTACCCTTCCAGCTTCCTCTTTTATTTAATATGAGAACCTATTATCCCTGAAAAGTCTATGTGCTGAAATTTTTAGGAAATCAGAGGTGAAATCCTGCAAGAGTGAGATCTGAAGACAAGAAGGGGAGAGGACCTAGTGGTACTGGGACAGCCACTGCTGGGATTCCACAACTGGATGATGGCCAAACACTGTTTGGACCCAAGCAAGGACAGCTGTGGTGTCCATCACATCTGTCAGAAGTGGAACAGGAATGTCCTGAGGAACCAAAAATCAAAAAAACAACAGCAAAACAAAACCCAAGGACATGCTCTGTAGACTGTGCTAGCTAACTGCTCATCCACTCACATGCAGGGAGACTCAAGACCATCTGGGAAAAGATGGGAAGGGAAAGAGCGGGCCCGAGAGCTGGCCATGGGAGAGCGTATTCTTCAGGCCTCGGTGTGATCAATGGGGGATGGAAGGCACATACCTGAAGTAATGACAATGTCTGTCCAGACAACTGTTGATCATTAAACTACACAGATAGAAACAACTGCTAGAGTCAAGCTGAAAATAAACAAACTCCAAAGGCCTATGCGACTCTACACAGCAAGAGAGAAAAAGTCTACAGTTTAAGTCTACACAATTATACCAAAAGGGGCTGGAGAGAGGCTCCGACGGTGGGTATTACTCTTGCAGAATTCAAGCTCGGTTCACAGCTGCCTGTGACTCCAGCTCCAGGAGATGGATCCAATATATCTGGGCTGTGTGGACATTTGCACACACTTTCCCAAATATACTCATAATTAAAATAAATCTTCAAAAGGTCACCACAGAAAGCAACTCAGGAGTTGCTCTACTACATTCTCTAAAAGATGCATTTCAATAAAGGGTAGTGAACATGCAAAGACACAATGTGCTGTGATCTGTACTTTGGCAGAACGTGCATTTAGTAAAAGCAGAGGCTGTACTGAGCAGTCTTCAAAGCAGATTCTATCCACATCACATCTACACCTGTCTGAATGTAGACTGTAAAGATGTCGTTCACCAGTGCAGGCTCAGCAGAAATGACACGAGAGCTGACTGGCAGTGACTTCGCCGTGATGCGCTCACCTAGTCTAGGTTTCACCTTCAGCACCACAGACTAACGAAACAAATGTCAGAAGCAGAAACTGCAGAGACCCAACGACAAATGCAGACATGCCGCACAATGAAATACAGTCAACAGACGTGCAGAGAGCAGCCCTGACCCTCAAAGGAACTAAAGGTAAACGGGAAGACAACTGTAGAACCAAGGGAAAGCAGAGCTCCAGCGACTCCAGGACAACGCCAGTCTTCAGAGTGTGAGAGAAAGGGATCACTCAAAAATACAACACCGAAACCCCCCAAACTTGATAAAGACGAAAGAAACACAACAAACTCCCAGGTAGAATAAGCAAGAGAGAACTGCATGTCGACATAACACTGTTAAATTGAAAGCAGCCAAATATCAAGAGAAAACCCTACACGGGCCTTGAGACGGCTCCTTAGATAAAGCGGCTCGCTTGCTGCCAGGCCTGATGGCTTGAGTTCAGTTTTCAGGACCCACATGGTAGCGGGGAGAACTTTCTCCTAAGTTGTCTTTTGACTTCTGCACAAGTGCTGTGTCATTTCTGCATCCACATACAGTAGTAAAAATACCCAAACCCAAAGCCCTGCAAAGCAGAATTCAGTAAGTTCCATAGGAAGAAATATAGTTAGGAAAGAAGAATAGACATACGGGTAAGTGACTAAACTCAGAAGACAAGAAAAATAGGAGAATAAATCAGAGCACAAAACAGAAGGGAGGGAGGAAGGGAAGGAGGGAGGGAGGAAGGGAGGGAGGGAGGGAGGGAACTATGCTATAAAAGGAGGCAGGTGTGTGGGGAGGTGCCAGTTTCATGAAAGTATTCTGTATTATAATTTTCATCTGATTAGGTTACAGTTGAAGAAAACTACCTTTTACATTACTACATGCTTCAGAGAGAACACTGTGCAGCATCTTCAATCACTGTCTGTAGCCTCCTAGCACAAACATTTTAGTGACTTTGTTTATAGGTTTACCTCACAGCTCCAGAGCCATTCCACACTGCTGGGCACCGGGAACAATATGGCCATTCTTTGGAATCCAACCTATTATCGATGGCATCCTAGGAAGAAAACCATTAAGCATCAAGAAAATGTAGTACCAGAAATTTGTTCTGTACACAGCTCTAATGAGATTAAAGGTGCACAGCCCTTCTTTACACCCGTAAGTCTTGCAGTAAAAATGAATACACTGGGGCTGGAGAGACGGCTCAGTGGGAAAGAGCACTTACTGCTTTTCTGGAGACTGAAATTTAGTTCCCAGCACCCTCATCAGCTCACACTGCCTGTAACTCTAGCTCCAGGATCCCATGCCTCTGGTTTCCATGGGCACCTGCACTCACGCGCACATACCCAAACATACACACACACAATTAAATTAATAAAAGTAAGCTTAAAAATGAATGTACTAGTTTACTCACATAATAAACCAACACACACTTCAGATCTGCCTTTCTTTACTGGGGGTCTGCAGTGGTCTGAGAACCTGTCAGCTCTAGGGATACTGGAGTTCCTAAGTGGCACGCAGGCCACTGTCCCTCATGGCAGTGCCTCTGAAACAGAATGCACAGACCTAACCCTGAGACACTGAGGACAATCCAATGGCTGTGGAATGGGTTTCTGTTCACTGGGTTTTTAAAAAAAACTCCCTCTTTTCTCAGTGCTACATTTTATGATATGCTATGTATATGTTTGGATTATATAAACAGATTATGAATGCTTTATTAATACAGCAGTATATATTTGATCAGTCAAGTTTATGCTCATATTTTAGAATTTATTATGGTTCCATTTTTTATTAGTCAATACAATTTGCTTTACAGATGATGGCAAAGAAAAGTGGACCCAGAAGGACAAAGCAATTCAAGGGGATTTTAGTAAGACTGCTAGAGAGCTGGGAGGTGGTGGTGCACGCCTTTAATCCCAGTGCTCGGAAGGCAGAGGCAGGCAGATCTCTGTGAGTTTGAGGCCAGCCTGGGCTACAGAGTGAGTTCCAGCACAGGCTCCAAAGCTACACAGCAAAACCCTGTCTCACAACAAAAGCAACAAAACAAACAAACAAACAAGACTGCCAGAGAGGAAGAAATCATGTTTTAAGTTAGGAGAAACCCTAGAAGCCGTAGACAGCCACAGAGCCAATGTGCAGTTTCTGGATTTAGCATGAAAACCTTGTTAAAGAGTTACAACAAGGGTAATTATACAGAAACTGTTCCTGGATAATCACTGTTGGGGTAGGAGGCAACTTACATCGCAGAAGACAAAGTCTAAGTTCCTTACACTTTTCAGATGTCTTCATGCATTTACAAGTGATGTAAAATTAGTTTTGAAAAGCAGAATAATAGCAAGAGCATTAGCACTGAAAGGAAAGTAGAAATTAGAGCTATAATTAGTCAAAGGAAAGCTGGAAGAATGTTTTTTATAATTCCTATAAATTAATATTTTCTAAGAGAAACAGCACTAAAAAAAGCAATCCACCTGACGACTCTAACAACAAACTACAGTTTAATCACATACTTTTCAGTTTTTTGCTTTTTGTTTCAAGATAAGGTTTTCTCTGTTTAGCTCTGGCTGTCTTTGAACTCAGAGATCCGCCTGTCTCTGCCTCCTGAGTGCTGGGATTAAAGGCGTGTGCCACCACTGCCCAGCTTATCATTTACTAAGTAATATCGAAATGTCATTGTGTCCAACTGTCATTCAAATTAATTTATGCTACATAGTTATTTAAAAGAACAGCAATGTTTCTCAAGAAATGTGTGTGCTCATTTTTTTTAAAAATTTACAGATAGTGATGAATTTTCCTGAGGTCCCTAAGACTTCAAAAGCTTCTCTGCCTATGAAATCCCAGTAGATAAAACTTTCTTTTGTGACCCTGCAAGCACTCCAGACACCCTGCACGTCAGCTATGCTCACAATGACAGTAGACAAGAGTAAGGCGCAGCCACAGGCGGTACTCGGGTTAGTGGGAGGCTGTGATCTTACCTCCATGATGTCCTTGATGAAGGGTGTCCACCGGGAGAGCTGGAAGGTCTCTTCTGCAGACCGGTCTTTCCTTACTGGCTTGGCTTGCTGGGACTAACAGAATTAAAGGGACAGATCATTTCAGAATGTCACTTGCATTTTCTAAAGAAGGTTTAATTACCAGCAACTCTGCATTCCATTTAACAGGAAAACAGCCTACTTTAAAAAAAAAAGAGAGAGAGAAAGAAATCACACCAACTTGGCGCATGTGAGGTCACTTAACAGTATCTACACCTTCACAGTAAATTTGAGTGTCATAAAGGGTTAATTTACATAAAAGTATCATGAAACTTGGTGGGAAAGAGTGTTCTAAATGAAGAGCTTTCAAATTTGACTCTGAGCCTTATTTTTGCTTATTTATCATTTATTTGTAGTACTGCAGACTGAACCAAGGGCCTCAGATATACTAGGCGAGGGCCACACCACCGAGCTGCGTGCCCAGTCTGAGCCTAAACTGTTTCCGGGGGATGTGATTTCTCTCTGCACTACCGGCACAGGTGAATCAATGAGAGAAAAGTATTTAGAAAAGAACATCAGGGGTAGGTGCACAGCTCAGGTGGCCAGAGCACTTGCCTAGTAGTTCCCAGCACCACATATGCCAGTGTGGTAGGCGCAACTGTAACCCAGCACTAGAAAGGTAGAGACAGGTGTTTAAGGTTATCCTTAAACATAGCAAGTTTGAGACCAGCCTGGACTACATGAGACCTTGACACAGAAAATGAAAACAAAAATCCCAACTGCTTACTTAATAATCAAATTCTATAAGATGAAGTCAAGAATGTCTATAAGATTCCCATCAACAAAAACAGTTAATGTAAGGACCTTATGGTGCAATGGCAGTGTGCCTAAGTCCAAAAGTAGTTAATGCATGCACGCACACACACACAGACAGACAGACACATGGGGAACCTCCTTCAGCCATGGCCTTTGAGAGGCTGGACCAGGTTGGGCGTGGCCTTGGGTACCAAAAAGACCCAGGCCCACCAGCTTGCCCCCGCCCCCCACAACCTGGATGCTGGATTCTGTTCCTGTTTCCCGTTGTAATCTGTGCATCGCCTCTTAAATAAAGAACTCCTTATTATACCCTATTCGGAGCTAGTATGGGATTACTTTAGTCACATTCCCCTCCAGACACACAGACACACACGTGTGCAAGCTTCCGTGCACACTCCCTTACTGGGGGAACGATGGGAACGCCAAGGTGACTCCAGTTCCGAATCATGTCACTGTCATCTTCTATCTTCACATTGTGGATCAGTCTGTCCAAATTTTCTTCAGTCGTTCCTTAAGGAAGGGAAAGCAGAGTGCACAGTCAGATAACTGCTACCAAAACTAATTCTAGGTTTGGAGTAATTAGTACGAGGACTAAAGCTTAAAAAAACACACACACACACACACAAAAAAAAACAAAAACAAAAACAAAAACAAACTCATGTCCCTTCTAGTCTTCTCTGTTTCCTATTTCTTTTTAGTCACCTTAACTAGCATTTACTTCCGGGTTTCTTAGGATTCCCTTACGGCGGCGAGTAACAAACTATTTTAAAAATGTGTTGGGGGCTAAGGCGATGGCTCAGTGGGTAAAGGTGCTCGTGAGGCTTGCTGCTAAGACTGACAACCTGGGTTTGGTCCCTGGAACCCACATGGTGGAAGGAGAAAACCGGACTTCAAAATGTACCCAACCTGCAAGACCACAGAGTAGATACCACGTAAGTAATGGTCAGCACTGGTGGATGCTAAAACCTGGATATAAAATAATCTCTAGTCATAGGCATTATGATCCCCACCACACACACAGAAATAATATACAGTAGGTAAATGTACAAAGAATCTAAGTGATTTCCGAGCGACTACATTAGCAGAGTCGCAGAGGTAAGCAGGCGTTGTTACCGTTGATACCGAAGATATAGAGCAGAACTGCGCGGATCTTGTCGCAGTTGTCATGGTTTTTGTTGAGCAGCACTGGGAGGAGCACCAGCATGGAGTCCTTTACTCGCTGCCCCTCTGCATCTGTTCCCAGTGCCAGGTCCTGAAGGACAGTAAAATGCAGACAGTGCTCCACAATCCAAATTTACCTTCTGGTCAAAAGCATCTATCATTAGTTGTGGAACCCTGATGACATAATACAGGAAATGTGAACGTTGGCTGCAAACTATTCACCACACAAAACACAGATGGCCATAAAGCAAACCAGAGGGGAAGACAGTCATGACAACCCAGGCTGGGCACTGCGGCAGTCACCACCAATGAGGGTGAGAGCACTTCTCATGTGCTTGTCTAGTCGGGATGTGCGCTGGGCGCCAACAATGGATTTCTGAACACGTGTGAAAGAACAGAAAATATCTCACTAACAGTTTTTATATTAATTACATGCTGAAACAATAAAACAAACATATTAGGTTAAGTCAAATTTATTACCAAATTTAACTCCTTTTTTTCCTTTGTAATGTGGCTACCAGAATAGTTAACAGTGCAAATAACTCGCATTCAATTTCTGCTAATGTGATGCTCTGCACAGCTTAGGAACTGTGTATGTGTGACGCTGTGTAGACTGCTGCAGGATAGAGTACTTGCACCGAACTCTGACAGAGCCTCGAAAAGATGCTCTAGTAATTTAAATCACTCCACAACGCACACTGCAAGACCACAGAGCAGGAGGAACGACTTGTCAATGTTGGTTCTACAGTATGGACCTAGGATGGCCCCAAAGGACCATGTGGTAAGGATTTTGTCCTCTGGTGCTTCTGAGAGGTGGAGGGAATTAAGAGCAGGGAGCTAAAGGAGGTCATCAAGTCTTTGGGGACAGTAGAACTGCCTATCTATCTCTGTCTATCTCTTGGCTTCTTTGTACCACACATCTCTGCTATAATGTGCCACACACCCAAAAGCAGTGAAGTGAATTGATCATAAAACTGTAAATCTTGCTGGGCGGTGGTTTCGCACGCCTTTAATCCCAGCACTCAGGGGGCAGGGGCAGGCAGATCTGTGAGTTTGAGGCCAGTCTGGTCTACAAGAGCTGGTTCCAGGACAGGCTCCAAAGCTACAGAGAAACCCTGTCTCGAAAAACCAAAAAAAAAAAAAAAAAAAAAAAAAGAACAAAACCCTGTAGATCTCAAGTATTCTCAGCCAAGTGTGCCCCAACATCTAAAACAAACACAACCAACCAAAACCGTGAGCTAAAATAAGATTATCATTTCAGGTATTTGTTAAAGTGACACAAAGCTGAGTAAGGAAGCAGGGAACCAGGCATCAATACTGCCTAGGTCAGTCCCTGTCTAAGACTCTGTGACTGTGTGGAGCTCAGCTGCTGCACTGAGCGGAGGCCGCATGCTGGCTTACACAGCTGCTCTGGAACTCTACCACAGAAGCGGGTGTCCTGGCCCTGCACATACCTGCTCAGTTTTGCAGAGCTTCTCGATATTCAGCTTAAACTTATTCATGCAATCTTCAGCCAAGTTAAGATGGACAACTTGCTGAAAAACAGAGGGAAGTAATTATTTATAACATTTTAGTTACTTTTTGTGTAACTGATATCCAACTTCTTTAAAAAATTATGTCTATGGGTTGTTTGCCTGCAGACAGCAAAAACAACATAGTGCTGAATCGCATGGAGTCTGTAGAGTAACAAAAACTTGGATAAGGGGAAAAAAAGTCAACTCCTGAAGAACAACAAACAAAAGGTTTCTTTTAAACTGGATAGTGGTGGTACACGCCTTTAATCCCAGCACTCGGGAGACAGGCTGGTGGATCTCTGTGACTTCGAGGACAACCTGGCCTACAGAGCCAGAGAAACCCTGACTCAAAAAAACAAAACAAAACAAAACAAAAGGTTTCTTTTACATTACTGGTTCTTAACTGGGCTCAAAGATTATAAAAATGTGCAAAGACAGCTATTCTAGGAAAGGCTGGGCTGGCTGAGGCTGCGGCTGTGCCTCACACTGACAGTACCAGCAGTCTCGAGGATGAGGCCAGAGGATTGCCTCACGTCTGACACAAGCCTGAGTTAGGGGAGTTCCAGTTCAGTGCGAACTAGAATGAGTCTTAACCCAGCTCTACCAAAGATGGATGGACCAATGGATAAATGGACAGATACACGGAAGAAGAGACAAAGGGAAAAGAATGGAAAGAAAACGAGTGAGTTTATCTGGATTTACATGATTTTAAATCTAATTTGTTACTATTAATTTAAGGAAATGCAGGGTTGGTGCCCAACACAAGAAACAAACGAAACAGCCACTAGATAATCTCATACTGACTTTTTCTTTGAGGTCGAGAAATACTAAAATTATTCTGTTCAGCTGTTTAAGACAAATATTTTTTTTAAAAAGATTTACAAAATACAGATGACGTAGCTAGAAAAGTCAGAGGCTAGTGTGGTTAACTGGGAATTCTCAGCTCTATAGGAAAGACTGGGAGGACACCTGCAACTAACTACGCCAGGGCACGGCTAAGCCCAACCACAGGAGCAGACAAGCACTCAGAGGCAGAGTCTCACACAGGCCATGGCTTACCTTCGTCATCTGTTTTCGGAAGTGGGGCATCTTTTTCATCAGCTGGGTAAGAGCGCTAAGTGATGTCTAGGAAAAACAAACAAATACAATAAAAGACAAATAAACTTAAGCAAGCCCATGATTCAGTTACTCCACATTATAGCTTCCAATCCAGAGCTTTTAAGTCCTAATAAACCCAGCTAAGGGGGCTGGTGAGATGGCTCAGTGGTTAAGAGCACTGACTGCTCCTCCAGAGGACTGGGGTTCAATTCCCAGCACCCACATGGCAGCTTGCAGCTGTCTGTAGCTCCAGTTCAAGAGAATCTGACATCATTATACCAATGTGCATGAAATAAAGTTAAATAAAGGTTTTTTTTTTTTAAAAAAAAAACAGCTAATTTAATAAATGAGCTAAGCTTTAAAATAATGTTAGGAGACTTCTGACTCTGTCACACTCTTCCATGTGGACAGATGAAAAAGTCCTTCTGGGCAGCGGACAACCAGCGAGGAGGCGGAAGCAAAGCAGGTGATCACTGAGATCAGCCTCCTGTCCCCAGGCAGTTACTGAGGGCTGCCTAGGCCGGCTCCCGAAGCTAAGAGGTACAGAGGGGAAGGAACCAACAGAAATATAACCATGTGTGGTAGGTGTCCTTAGCCCTACACTGCTCAAGGATCCAGCAGAGAAAACTAACATGGGTAATTAAGCCCAGACAGAGATTTCAGAAGAGTCTCAGTGCTAAGGACACGGTAGCATTCTCTGATACAGACAAAACAAAAAGATTTAAGTAAACACTGCAGACATCTAGACCACATCTCAAATAACCAAAACTAAAAACAAAAGAGGTAAAAAGCTATTTCAGATCCCCTGGGATTTAGCTAATATTGAGAAGGAAATAACTCTAAATAGACAGGCAGGGCTATTCGGAGAAACCCTGTCTCAAAAAACAAAACAAACGAACAAACAAAATCTAATCTTTAAACTAAGTATTAGGATTAAGGAAGTAAGTTGATTACAGGGTCACTGGACCCATAGTAAAAATTTACAAAATCACCTATATTTTATATTCTAACAAAATAGAATCTTAAAACTAATGCTATTTATAAAAACGCCCAAAAGAAAATGTACAGTAACATTAGTGTGACAATAACATGGGAATGTGTACACATGAACAACCAGCGAGCACACATTACGATCTGTGCACTAACATTAGAGGACAATAACATGGGCATGTATACACATGAATAGCCAGCGAGCACACATTACGATCTGTGCACTCACTTGTGTACTATACTTCAATACCAAAAACCTCAATACTATACATCAATACCAAAAACCTGGCAGAGCGGCACAGGACTTTAATCTCAGTACTTGGGAGCATGGTGTGGTAAGTCCTTATGTCTATGTGTTGCTTTTATTGGTTAATGAATAAATCTATTTCAGCCAGTGGCTTAGCAGAGTAGAGCTAGGTGGGGAAAACTAAACTGAATGTTGGGAGAAAGAAGGCGAAGTTGGTGAGAAGCCATGTAGCCACACCTGGGACAGAACCCTCTACTGGAGCCCGCCAAAACTTTACCAGTAGGCCATGACCTCGTGGTGATACACAGATTAATGGTGATGGGTTGTTTAGGATATAAGAGCAAGCTAGAAATATGCTTAAGCTATTGGCCAAACAGTATTGCAAATAATATGGTTTTTATTTGATTATTTTGGAGCTGAGCAGCCGAAAATGAACTAGTGGCCTCTGCCTACAACAGGTGCAGACGGAGCTCTCTGAGTTCATGGGCAGCCTTGTCTACAAACCAGCAGGGGCAACACAGTGAGATTCTTATAAAACCAAACCCCTCATCTATGTGCTGATGAAAATGACTAACTGGCCTTTAAATACTAAGTTTTAATGGCAGTAGCACAGATAAAACTGAGGTCACAGCACACAGGCACTTCTCTATTCTCTCTGTGTTAGAATAGCCCCAAATGGAAAGTTACAGTAATTTTCACCCTTTTCCTTTCAACTTTGTTTGTAATTTTCCTTTGCAGGGCCAACAAGGCGGCTGAGTGGGTAAAAGCACTTGCTGTGCAAGCTGACAACCGGAGTTGTCCCACGTAAAGGTGGGAGAGAAATCAACTCCCAAACGTTGTGACCACTACATCACACACCACATACACACATCACATGCACATATCACACACTACACACACCACACCACACATATCACACTACACTCACATCACATACTACATATACACATACCACATACACACATATCATACACACATATCACACACACACCCCAGACATGCATCACACACACCAAACACATATCACATACACACACTATACACATCACACACAGATACACAGACATACACACCACACACATATCACACTACATATACACACTACATAAACACACACCACACGAACACAACACACACACAAATACACATCACTCACACACCACACACATATACATTACAAACTGCATATACACCACACACGCAACACCCCACACATGCATATACACTACACACAGACACATATTACACACCACACCCCCACACGCATACACACCACACACACATATTACACACTACGCACCCCCCCTCCACACCACACACAAACACACTGCATACACACACAGGCACAGACAGATACACATCACACACACACAGTTATTAAGTGACCCTTGCAGTACACAGCTGCAATCCTAGCACCTGAGGAACAGGTCCTCCTGCTCAAGGTCATGCTCAGCTAAGCGGTGAGTTTGCCAGCAGCCTGAGTTCAGCCTCATGAGACTTTGTCTGTAAAGTGCAAACGCACCTTTGCTATCATCTTACCTTCCCCTCTGTAGCTTTCTTTGTTGATGAAATTTCCTTCATAAGTTTTGGAATTTCCCTGTCAGATAAATGAGAAAAATTTCTAAGTTAGTTCTTTACAAAGCTCTTTTAAAGTTATAAAATATACTTTAATAATTTAGTACCTGAAAACTACAGAACAAAGTTAGAACAGGCTCACATACTCCAACACAAGCGCGATGTGCCGGTGCCGGACCCGGACCCACAGGTCGTCGTCTTCTTCGAGAACTGCCTCCTTGTCCTTCCCGTCGGTTCTGTATCTAAACAGGGGGAACATTCTCAGAATCTCCCTCAGAAAGTAGAAAAACATTTTTCTAAACAACAGTACTGAAAAGTAGACTCAGTCTGTTACTTAAGGGGGTCAAAACCTAAAAGCAGATTAGAACCCTTCTATAAGAAATTTAGGAAAAACATCTTTTTCATCTCAAATGTTAGGTTTATAGTCTTGGCAGAATGCCATCTTACAAAGCGAAAATTCAACATCCCACAGTGAGCTTTAAGAACAGAAGCAGCTAGGTGGACTGGCATTTGGAAGGCAGAGTTAGAAGGACCTGAGTCAAGGTCACCCCAGCAACAGTGTTCAGGGCCAGCCTGGGTCACAGGAGACCCGTTCTCAAATACAAAGACTACAAAGACCAATCAAGCAGTAAAGCTGAATACCCAAGCAGCTGCGTCTTTAATCACTTAACATCACGATACGCTAGTGATCCACAGCGCTGTCATCACATGTCCATCAAGAGCCATCGCGCTAGTTAGCCTGCTCAGAGTGCTTGTGTAAAATCACAGACACAGCATCTGCAGCTTCTCCTAACCAAGCCTAAAGTCACGTCTCCTTTAAATAGGAAGAAAAGAGAAAAACTAATATGGCTGTAAAAACATTGTGACAGCTTTACCAAGTTCTACTGGAGTAAGAGCAATTCAGGAGGTTCACGGGGCCATGATATTGGCTTTTAACTGAGTTCCTCAACGTAATTTCCTTCTTTAATGCAGATACCTTTTCCTTGTGGAGGTAGGAAAGACTCAGCTGTCAATTTCCTCGGGCAGATAGGGACTACACAGCATTTTCTTAGTTCTGAACTATGGACAATGCATGTTGATTTCTGTTATATAAATGCAGTAGTTTCTATAACCCCAAAATTATAGGCTTAATTTACAAAACAATGTGGTCTAAGATACCCAAAGATAAATGGCTGTGTTTAATTACAAGGCTAACCTAAGGATGGAAGTCCTTTGTTATGCAAAATATCAGTGTGTACTTATGTAATACCTTTGCCATTTAAGTGGCTTATAAGCAAACCAGTAGTGTGAGGGCAACACTCCAAGACACAACAGTCCATTCGAGTACATTTACAGTCTTATGATGCATGAATAAGCAGAAAAATTGCTGGTTCCAGCAAAACTTGTGATGGAGACCAGGCAGGGTGACACATGCCTTTAATGCCAGCACTTGGTAGACAGAGGCACTTGGACCTCTGAGAGTTCAAGGCGACCAGCCAGGAGTACATAGTGAGACCTTGGGAGCATGTGATGGAGATTGGCAGGGAGGGGAGTCCCTCTACAGTGTGTTGAACATAGGGGTGAAGAGCAGGCAATCAAATCAAACTAAAATGGGGGACACAGGTGATGTGTGGCTTGGGGACTGCTGTATCTACGTTTCCTCTTTCTCTGAGGATAATGGGAAGCCATTTAAAGGTTCTGAGTGAAGTGGGCATGCTGACCTGACTCTTACTAAGATTCTCTTTCTCCGGAGTTGGGAAAGCTGAAGGGGGCGGGGCCGGAAGACAAAGCAGAGCATGAGAGGTCAGTGAGAAGTCTCAGGAAGACAGCGAGGGGGAGGAGAGGGCTAACATCATGAGCTTCAGGCTGAGTCTGGTGTCATAAGCAAGCTGGAAAACTGGGTCTTTAAAATGTAGTTATGAAGATTTACTATTGAACTGAGTGTTTTTGAACTTGATTGGCCATGACTGAAATTTGGGCCTGAGAAAGTAGCTATGAGATAGGAGCTGCAGTTACTATGGGGAGCACTGCACTTTCCAGGGGGCTCCCAGCAACTCAGGTGTGGACATACACACTGAAGATGCTCACCAGACATTACAAATGAAGATACTCACTAGGGAGTTGGTGTGAATCTGAAGTTAAAGCAGAAGGCTCAGTTGAGCCAGTCACAGACAAACCTTGAGATTAATATGCTTCCAAAAGTATATAAACAGAGTCCACAAACTGAGCACTAGAACATTCCAACCCTAGGAAGCAGGGATTAAGAAGGAACCAGTTAGACCAGACTTTTGGATTTAGCGACAGAGGGGTACAGTTTCTGGGCTGGTTCAGTGGATGAAAGTACTCGCAGCGGAAACATGACAGACTGAATTTTGGGGTTCAACCACTGGGACCCATGAAGGAAGGAGAGAACCCACTCTGCATAACTGTCCTCAGAACTCCATATGCATGCTGAGGCATGTGTGTACTTGTGCTCGCGCGTATGCACATGTGTGTGAGCACACACACACACACATACACAGCAAATACTACAATACTATTTTCAATAAGAAGTCATGCCCAAGTAAAGACCGACGGAGCATGGGGAGTTTATACTCCCACATCAGTCTTCTCTCAACTTCTGGGGCTTAGAGTAAGAGGGTATCGCTGTCTTTGTGAAAACTAGCTGCCTTCCTTCCCCCAAGCAATTAAACCTGCCTTCATTTGCCAGCAAATCTGAAGAGAGCACATTTTAATACTAGGTCAGGACTCTCTAAACTTCTGGCAAGTCTAGAACAAAATTCTCTATGGCCTGATACCAGATTCTTTCAAATCTACTGAACAATGCAGCTTGGTGACCTAGAGGGTAACAGGGGTGTAGATAAGGGCTCTGCTGATTTCCTGGCTGATATCGACACAAACAAGACAGAAAAAAAAAAAATCAGGATTTAACTGGAATGCAAATAAAAACACAATAGAAAATACACAATTTAAGAAATATTGCAAAGAATCATAACTATCAAAAGTTGCATTATTTTGATAAAACTACTACTAATTATTTTTGTGGTTCAATGAATTTAATGTATGGCCCCCATATATGCTAGGCATGTGTTCTACAACTAAGTCCTCTCTTTACTCATTTATTTAAAGGAAGAAAAAAATTTTTTTGAGTTAAGGGCCTACTACACTGCCTAGGCTAGCCTTGAACTTGTGACTCTCCTGCATAAACCTCCTTAAACCACCCAAGCAGCTGGAATTATAGGTCTGAACCACTGGATCCAGCTCTATTAAATTAATATAAACAAAATTTCATAAAACTAATACTTAGTTTTACTGTTGTGTTCAAGTAGTAAACCTGTCTGGCTTTAAACCTGGCATGCACCCCAGGTTGGCATCAAATTCATGATTTTTCTGCTAAATGTTTACAAATGCTGGAAACAAACATCCAGCAAATCTTGTCTGAAAAATTACTACTTGGATTTAGAGATCATAGTATCATAAAGCTCTGTGAGTGTGTTTGTATACGTGTAAACTGATGAGAAGTAAAATGGCTTCTTGAGAAAGGCTGCCTCATGTCACTCACTTGTCCTAATATCCTTGCTTAGAGATTACATCAGTAACTATGGAAACAGTAAACCTGTGCCCATTCTCAGCAGCGTTATACTGGGTTTTGGGTGTCTTAAAATAAATTATATTGACAAAACACTTTTGGGTATATGATTTAGAATTAACACAGCCTAATCATTTTCAATATAACACACATGAAATATAATAATGGGAAGCTGGAGAGATGATTCAGCAGTTAAGCGCACTGGCTGCTCTCCCAGAGGACCTGGGTTCAAATCCCAGCACCCACATGGCAGCTCACCATTGTCTGTAACTCCAGATACAGGGATCCAACACCCTCACACAGACATACATGTAGGTGAAACATCAAGTACATAAAATAAAAATAGATTAAAAGCCTGACATTACTCTGAATGAGTGCAAACCCCTACCAACTTGTTGACTAGCACCTCTACTGCAGGACAGGTAAGGGGCAAATAAACTTAGAAGCTCTGAAGCAAGCTGCCCGTTAGCTTACAAAGTGAACACCTTGTCAGGTTACAGTTACAGGAGAGGGAGAGAGAGAGAAGGTTTCTGTATAGACAGGTTGCAGGTCTTTCAGGTTTCATTAGATAGTCTGTCTACAGCCCTTTAAAGCCCTTCAAGTTATACTTGCTTGTATGTATCATTCTCAATTGGTAGTAGATCATATGCCATTGCCTGAAAGGTCAGTTCATGCAGGACAGTGGACACAGGATCAAAGCCACGGTCAATTATTAAGAGCTGGGAATGAGTTTTACCCTAGAATAACAAGATAAAAGTATCTTAAGAAATTTCAGTATCTTTATGTGAACACATTTTTAATATTTAAAACTTTTAATAATTCTGATATTTAATAAAAGATTAATCCTGTCCCTCAACAGAAACACACAATAAAATAAAACAAATGAATGTCCTAAGATGTGAAATTATATTAAAACAAAAAGCATGAGTGCACAGACGGGAAAAACAAGGCTATGCAACTAACATTTTCATAATCAGTTGAGGCTATATACATCAATTTAATACTCCCTAATTATCTTTGAAGAAGTAACATCTACCTTTCCCTAAATACTCCTTTTTCCTTTTCTCTCTCTCTAGGACGGGATCTCACCATGTGGCTAAACCAGGCTAGCTTTGGACTCGCCATCCTTCCTCAGTTTCCCCCATGCTGCACCTACAGACACACACTACTACAACACCTGGCCAAAGTTAGCTTCTCGTGCATTCAGTTCTACAAATAATAAGGCTGACATAAACTGTGAACAGCAGCTACTACTCGAGTTCTTTGTGTTGATATTTGCTAGTCAAGAAAGGCATATTTTATTTCACAGAGATACCACCTCACAATTCTTATGGCGCCCTTGAGACAGACATTATCATATCCACATGACAAAGAGGCCATTAAAGTTCAGCGTTAAATCAGCTATTTTAAGAGTAGAGATTACATTAGCCAGGCAGTGGTGGCACATGCCTTTAATTCCAGCACTTGGGAGGCAGAGGCAAGTGGATCTCTGTGAGTTCCAGGCAAGCCTGGTCTATAAAATGAGTTCCAGGGCAGCCAGGACTACACAGAGAAATCCCGTCTTGAAAAAAAAAAAAAGCAAAAACAAAACAAAAAAATAGAGATTATATTAATGACAACCAAGACTATAAATCATAATAAAAAAAAAAACCTGTTAACATTAATTCAAAAACAATATCAACCACTAAACAGCGGACGTGGAACATTGAATCTTCTCCAGTTCTTTCTTTGGAGAGGGTGAGGGGTATGGTAGCGAGAACCAAACCCAGGCTTTCATGCTAGGCAGGTCTCTACCACTAAGCTATTATTCACTTTTGATTTTGAGCTCACTTTATAGGCAGGCCCTGAACTTTGATCTTCCTCAGCCTCCAGAGTAACTAGGATTACAGCCCTGTGGTAGCAATCCTGGTTCATACTCCACTCTTAGAAGTAGCTAACTCTTTAGCTTAGTAGTAAAGACCTAAGCAAGAGGTAACTAGCTACAATTCAGACAACATTTCCTATGCATTTGCACAGAGCAGACAGGTAAATCACGTAGCCAGACTTGAAAATGCGTCTGAATTACCACCTCTCCTGATAGAGGTGAAGCAGTGAGGTACAGTGAGAAAGAGAACACTGTGGAACCAGATATGGGGTTGAATTCAGCTGCAATTGGTTTCTTGTTGTATGACCTCAGTTAAGTTTCTCAACCTTCCTTACATTAGTATTTACTTGGTAAAAATTATATCAAATGGCAGGACCTGTCCCTTGGGAGATTGTTGTGAAGGCTAAATGTATTTACAATGAAACACAACATACATGAGCTGAGAGTCTGCAGAAACACACAAATGAAAAGGCAATCCTGGGCATTTATAGAAATATTTGAAAGACCATGGTATCACTTGGCTGACGAATTAGGAAAGGTTTCAAAACAAGGTAAGCCTCATAGGTGCTTGAATAAAGGAAGGTGCCACCTGAAGGATGTGCAGTTCTCCAGGAGAGAGAATAAAAAGAGGGAGGGAGAGAGCGAGCATCTGCCTTTTCCCCACTGAACCTCTATGGGACTACAGAGACATCTACTATACTTCCTTGCCGTATCAAACACTTGTCACTGCCTACTATGGTTGTTAAGCCACTCCACCTTTGTAGACTCACAGCTTTCACTAGACCTCTATGCCCAGAGTCACTAACTTTTCATGTAACCAGCATAACTTCTAAATTGACATCTTCCATTCATATTTAAAATTGAATTTTATCCTTCTATGTCTGTACCCAAAGAACTCTGTTACTCTTGCAATAAGATATTACTGTCTCTATTATGCTCTAGTCATGCTTGAGGCTCGGGGCCTCCTCCTGCAGGATACCGTCTAAGCCCGGTTTAGAGTAAGATAACTCCCAGCCTGTGTTGTCATTGTATTCTGTGCATTCCTCTCCAGCCGCCCACTGCACAGCACGGCCAATCAGCATCCTTGGCCTTTTCCTCTTCTGACTAGGGCAGTTCCTGCCTTTATGCTCTAGCTCTTGTGTGGCTCCCCAGCCTCTGACACCACTTGTCCATCTCCTTCCTCGGCTCTTCCTTCTCTAGCCATGCCTACAAGCTGGCATTCCCCAGGTTCCAACTTTAGGCTTTGATTACATTACATTATTTTTAGCAGACAATAACAAAGGTTGCTATGTATTCCTCTTACATGTACAAAATACTTAGATGTTACCTCACCTAATTTTCATACCAGCCAAGCAAGGCACACATTATCTCATTCACTTCAGAGATGAGAAACAACTCAAAATTGCAGAGCTAGTAATAGCAGGAATCCCAGCCTTTATTAAATACTAACTCAGTAGAAGGCATTATTCTAAAGACTTCATACTCATTTAATCCTTTCATTAGCTTAAAAATAGGCATTATTAGTTCTACTTTACAGAGACAAAAATTTAGTTTAAAGATGGATGCCTTAATTAACATAATTATTCATTAAATGGCAGAGCCAAGATGTGGACACACTGCTGACTTCAAAACCTCCAGCCTCCCTCACGACAGAACTGTCAAACCACATGATCTACTAAAGTTTCCGCTAAGGACTCTCAAGTCAGAACTAAAGATCCATCTTAGTGATCCCCACATCAATACTAGAAAACTGATGAGCACAGGCTGCTCTGGTTAGGGAAGCAGCAGAGCTTCCGCAGAGCCACTGCTTGCTCTTCACAGTTACCTTTATCAGGCCTTTCTCGTCCATCTTGTAGTACTCTTCAAGTTTTTTTTCAACCATTTGTGCAAGCTTACTGGCATTATCTAGAGGTTTACTAGAAATGGAAAAAAAAACATTTTAACAATTATCTTTCAGGACATACTTTACAATATTATAAAGGTAAATTCTAAAAGAAGACTATAACTTTGTTATAAAATGCAAACATTTACAAACATAGAAAACTATCAAACATGTCACATATGCCATAGCCTTAAGCATCTGCTTCAGAAATTTTAATATACAGGAGTAAAGTATTAAATATAAAGATGCCATTCCTGTATCCCTTCCTCTATCGCTACACTGGAGTCTATATATTCATTCCCTGAAAGTGGAGGGACACTGAAATCATTCTCAATTTCATACCATTATAAACTACACAGAAACAAACATGCTTGGCACGTGCACATTTCTCTAGGTGCACTGCATATGAAGGTAAGAATCCTGGACCCTAGAGTATATGCATTCTAAACGTTACCAAACTGCTTTCCAAAAGCCGGGCACACGCCTTTAATCCCAGTACTTGGGAGGCAAAGGCAGGCAGATCTTTGTGAGTTCGAGACCAGCCTGGTCTATAAAGCGAGTTCCAGGACAGGCCCCAAAAGCTACAGAGAAACCCTTTCTCAAAAAACAACAACAACAACAACAAATCAAAAAACAAAACAAAAAAACCCAAAATAAATAATAAATAAAAACCCAAATTGCTTTCCAAAAGAAGTGACAATTCTCCCCCAGCAGCACGTGCCGTTTCCTCACATCCTCTCTTTTGCTGTTTTCTACGACAGCTACAGATTAAAACCTTGTATGCTCTGTGAGTGGAGATATGGCTCGGTGGTTTAACACGCTTAATGTTCTTGCAGGGAGCCTGGTTTTTGTTCCTAGAGCGCACAAGAAACTCTAACTGCAGTTCCTCTTCCGGCCTCTAGGGCAGCTGTGCACATGTGGTGCACATAAATTCATGCAGGCACAAACACATTCATATAAACAAAAGTAAATAGATATTTAATAACAAAAATGCAAGAATGGTAGCATCATACTTTAAATTGTAACTTCATGATTAGTGGTATTAGTATATTTTCTAAACCTACAAGAAAAATATTGGAAAATGCTCTTCAGCTAGCACCCTAACCTGCAAAACGGGGAAGGGCTCTCACATGAGGCTTTTGAAGGGGTTTAAGAATCTCTTGGTTTTAAAAATAAAGGCACAAATAATGATTTTGATATTTTTGCTGAAAATGTTTTTTTAAAAAAGTCATTTTATTTTAGAATTTACCTTAAAAGTTTCTATAGCATAAAGGAGTATTCTGTTAAAGAACAGGTAGAATTTGTGTATTTATGATGTGTGTGTGTGTGTGTGTGTGTGTCTGTGGAGGCCAGAGGGGACAGAGTCTCTCACTGAACCTGGAACTCACCCTTTCAGCTAGACTGGCGTAGGAGACATGTGACCAGCCTCTGTGTGATTGCTGGGATCTGAACTCAGGCCTTCATGCTTGCACAAGTAGTAGTTTACCAATGCAGCCGTCTCCCAGCCCCACAATTTTTAAAGCTAATCAAAGCATATCTGTAAACAAACTATTATATTATAAATGGTTTGTGCTTACTCGCTTTTCTGAGTCTAACCAACCATCAACAGTAGAAGCTTAAAAGACACTAAACTCCAGCAAGAGGCAAACCACTTAGCTCAGTTCCACTAAGCCCAGATTATCATTAGCATATTATTTACAGTTTTCCTAACTCCCAAGGTAAAAAGCTTGTTTGGTGATGTCTGAGTTAAAGAGATTTATTATACTGCTCTACTAATAACAGGAGATTTTACTGTTTTCTACATTCGTTTATTTGTGGACTCTAGCATGGAGTAGTGCAGGTATAGAGGTCAGAGGACAGCTTGTGATAATCGATTCCCTTCTTCCTCCAGGGAGGCCCTGTGGCTCAAACTCAGTATCAGACCCTTGGTAGCAAGCCCTTTACCTGCTGAGTCATCTTGCCAGCTACCAACGGGGGCGGAGATTAAAATGCCAACATTAAGAGTGTTGAAGCATGCAGCAATGCATGAATGTGCAATTAAAGAGTTTACCAGTCAACTGGACAGATGCCGCTGTTGAGACACAGAACCTGCTCAGGAAGTCAATGGCACACTGGCTATGCACAGTGGAGTGGAGGCACAGCCTTTCTTAGGAATTTACACGTGACCGCCTTTCATTCTAGCAACCCCATGAGAAGGCCATTGCCCTCACTCCCATTTTATAATTATACAGATTAAACACAGCCAGCAGCAGAGCCAGGATTACAACCCAAGTGACCGACAGCACACACAGCGGTGTCTCTTAGAGAGTAACACTGAACAAAACACTACGAAACAGACAAAATCCTATGACCTCATCTATAGCAGTTTAAAATCAGGCAAAACTAAGCCGCACCTCAAAGGTGAGCAGCAGTTTGCTCTGGGGAGGGAGAGGGAAGGTGGCCAGGAGGAACTGGGGGGCTGTGGGATACTGCGAAACTGTTCTTCACATGAGGGTCGAGCAGCTACTGTTCATACTGGAATGAACTTACAAACCTGATACAGAAAACGAATGCACTTTACACTAAACTTTGTTTTGATAAAGAAAAAAATAAATAAAGGTATGTAGTATAAAAGTTTTAACAAGGTCGCCTCTTTTAAAAAAATTCTAAAATTTATTTAAAATGCCCACCGGGATCAAATACTACAAATGCTTAGGTACTGTAACAGGTGTTCAGATAACACAGCCATTTAAATCTGGTGTAAATGTAATGATAGATTATTAAATGCCAAGATTACAGCCAATAAAACAACCCTTGAAGCATTCCTTAAACTGATCAAACAAACAAAGCTTTCTATAAGTAAACGAAAGCAAACTTCAGTTCTGAGGTTCCGCTACAGAGGCTGTTACCCTGCTATCTGAAGCCTAAACTCTCGATTTTCTTTACGCAGAACCTGGAGACCATACAAGGGAGCTCTACTCTGCAAAGTGATACAAAAAGGCAGAGCTACGGTGCTTTAGGCCTCATCACAAACGAACAACACACACACTCCACGCCTTACCTCTTATACCTCACTCCAGGGTTCTCATCCAGAGTGGCACACACTGTTACTATCTGCTCAGCCATCGCCTCCATGACCGCATCCTTCCTGCTGGCGTTACTAGGGTCTGGACTGTAACAGTAATAGAACGCGTCTGGTACGTCAAGAGTATAAACCTAAGGGAGGTCAGAAAAAGTTAGACTGTCAATCTAGAGCCTTGACTTTACAGATTCCAAAGAAACCAGAGCTGTGGCTGGGCTGTGGGAGGACGAGCACTCGCAGGCTGACTCCTGACGACTCTCACTGCCTCAGCTCTCCCCTTCACCCCTACCCGTCTGCCGCAGTTTACTCTGCCTCACGCCTTCAATTCTTGTTTCAAACACAGATTGTACTGACTGCGTTTACAACCTGTGCAACAGAAAAAGGAGTCTGAAGTAGGAAGTATCAAACTGAAAATATCTAATGCCTGGCAGAAAGAAAATTAAGAAATCTTAACCTAGTTCAGAATAATCCAGAAACTTCTTTAATTGTTTAGCTTAGAATCACATCCTTAAAAGATTTTCTTCCCCAAATCATAAGTCACTGGGAAAGATAAGACTTAACATAAATACAATAAAATCTCAGATGCACTGATTCATTCAGCTGTCAAAGAACTGGGCTAGCGCCCATTAGAGTGTTATTTGAGGGATGGGCAGAGAGGAGTTGAGAGTTCAGTAACCTAAGTTTGGGGTTTTCAAAAATAGTGACGTAATCCCTCTCACTTAGATAAGGCATTGGGTGTAGGAACGGATAGGAAACAAATATAGGTTATGTAACAAGTTATGAATAAACTTCCTTGCTTTTCCTTTTAAAGTCATTTACTCTCTGAACATTACCAACTACCAACAGCAGCAGCCTGACCACAGACTGAAGTTCAGCTGTGCCCACCCAGGGTCTCTGCTCTCGAAGGCTCAGCTGCTGTGTTAAGTAACCAACAAGCACCCTGCACATGAACTGTCACGGCACAGCGCACCCTCCCACTGGAGCAGGTACTTGTTAGAAATGTTACTATCCCGTATCTGTGCCTAAGAGACTGCTCCCCATGGCAGCGGCTCCCAACCTTTGTCATGAGGGTCGAATGACCCTTCCACAAGGGTTGCCTATGACCACTGGAAAACACAGGTATTTAGATTACTTTTCATTACAGTAGCAAAATTACACTTACGTGGCAGAAATAATGTTGTGGTTGTGGTTACCACAACGAGAACTGTATTAAAGGCTGCAGCATTAGGGAGATTGAGAACACTGCCCTATAGGAACGTATTTCCCACCCACGGATGTCTTGACTGTGGAATGTTAGTACAACAGACACGTATCATGCACGAAGCTCTAAGAACCACTCGTGTGTGTGTGTGTGTGTGTGTGTGTGTGTGTGTGTGTGTGTGTGTGTGTGTACATGAGTGTGATGGGGTAGGGAGGGTTAAAAGCTTGTCTGGCATGTTCAAGGCCCTGGACTTGATCCCCAACACCTACCAAAACCAAACAAATCCCAACAACAAAAATGACCATCAAGAGTAACAAAAGCAATTGTGTGGCGCCAACTTTTTTTTTGTTTGTTTGTTTGTTTTTTTTCGAGACAGGGTTTCTCTGTAGCTTTGGAGCCTGTCCTGGAACTAGCTCTTGTAGACCAGGCTGGCCTCGAACTCACAGAGATCTGCTTGCCTCTGCCTCCCGAGTGCTGGGATTAAAAGTGTGCGCTACCACCGCCCAGCAGCTCCAACATCTCTTTCTTTTCCTGGTTATATCTTCATTGTTTTCTTCAGCTTAGGTCCCAGAATACAGAAGATGTTAAATAAAACCCCAGCCAATCACAATGACTTCACAGTGATATCCAACACTCCACTTTCCCTTAAAGACTTGAGGATTGGGCCAAAGCTTCCTCATCCATACTATCCTAAGGATGCTGTAGCCTCCTGCAGTCTACACTCGCGGCCAGCTTACGGAAAGACCTATTTACTATACCCACACTCCTTGTGACCCAGATTCCTGCTGTCCCCACCTATTTCTGCTTCTGCATTTTTGCATTCAAGTCATTCTTACCCCCTAGAATGTGCCTCTTAATTGCTACCATGAAAAACTGTATTCATAGGCTCCTAGTAAACACTCCTTTTGTGGCTGACTGTGACATGTGTCCTCCCTTACTTTACAGTGACGACTCCAGTCACTGGGAAGCACAGTTAGACAAGCCTATCCAAGACATTTTCAGCTTCCCATGTGCTTAGCGTAGTCATGGGACTAAATTTTAGCAAATACAGTATAAATGAAGGTTCTTATTTTATTCTGTCTCTCTACTTATTATATACCCTCTGTTATCCTGTTACCCCAAATAAGAATATAATAATTTTATAGTCATCTGGCTCATGAAGGGAATACCTAAAAGAATAGGCTCCTGACAATTCTGTAGACTGTGTAAGTGTTATAAGGCCCATTTCCTGACTTTTTATACAGAAAAAAGTACATTTTCACACTGTTTTGGCCACTGAAAGCTTGTATTTTCTTCTTTACTCAGTTGAACCTAATCCTAACTGACACAGCTTTTGAATACTCTGTATCTGTCACTATTCTCGAATGAGACTAAACTAGCTATTAACTCATCACTCCACAGAACTGCCTTGAATCTAGCCATCTCTAGTTGGGATAGTTGAGACAGTCTCCCTTGTGGACCAGGCTGGCCTTGGGATCCTATGTCTTTGCCTCCCTAGTGCTGGTATCCGAGGCATGCGCTATGACACCTGCCTGGAATAACATTATGATTACATCTCAGATGAGCCTCTGCTCCTAGCTTAGAGCATTTAGTCATATGTCACATGTATTTCCAATATGTGTTTAGTCTCATCACAATTTCTCCATAGCAATTAAACTTATAGGTAAAGCCAGCATGGTACTGGGCATTTCTTTTTTTTTTTTTTTTTTTGGTTTTTCGAGACAGGGTTTCTCTGTGGTTTGGTACTGGGCATTTCTAATCCTAGTACTTATTAGGTACAATCAGACACTACCTCAAAATAATTTTTGTAAGTAAATTCTCATAAGATGTATAACAAGGAAGTAAATTAGGAGAGGACCTTAACGATCATATTTCATAGACTGGTAGTAAACTCCCTCAGGGGACTTCTTTCTATACACTGATATTTTCTGCCATAAGCCATCAACTTAAGTCACGTTGCTATAAAATTCCTTCCTGCAAACACAGCAACCATAGGATCTGAAAGAATTCTGGGGCTAAAACTATTTATTATATTTTGTGAAGTAATGATCTGGAAATGCCCACAGCATTTTCTAGACTACTGTTTATAGCACACATGACTTCAGGAAGCCTAGTTTCATCCTACACTAAAGTTATATATTGTATTAAAGGATGAATTTTAAGAAAACTTAAATGAGTCTTAAAATTTTACACTATGGACTACAGTGTTTGCCATACTAGCAAAGCTGAAGAGAGGAACGCTGTATCTAGGATCTTTCTAGTCCCAAATACTGACCTGGTAGTTCCAAAGATCTCCAAATATTCCTCTAGATAATCTAAAATCTAAACAGAAAACTGAGCAGAACAACTGTCTATTCACTGGCTGTGTAACTTGGGGTAAGTTTTTAACCTCTTAAATTTCCAGCCTTTAAAATGGGTATAGAAAGCCAGGCATGGCAGTACATGCCTTTTATCCCAGCACTAAGGAGGCAGAGTGAGTGACTCTCTGAGTTCCTGGCCATCCTGGTCAGGACAGCTTCGGCTACATAGTGAGGCCTTGTCTTAAAAAAACAAAAACAAAAAAACAAAAACAAACAAAAAAAATGAAAAAAAACATGGGAATAGAAGTATCTACAGAACTGGTGAAAAGCTGAAATTACTAAATTTATGTAAAGCAACCAAGAAAATGATCTGACAGAGTAAATACTCTATTGGTGACTACTATTTTCATCACTACCAAGCTTGTTAACTGTGTCAAATATAAAACAAATAAACAGTCTTTATTTCACAGTTATATGGTATCAAATATTTATTTGAAACTTTTGTTTAGATATCATAAAGGATTACAAAAGCTAAAGAAAGATCTCTGAATTCATAATCTAATCACTGGGGATGAAACTTAACAGACATGGCATGACCAGATAAGAAATTTAAGCCCCTCTTTTCATTATTAATGTTGAATTCCAATTTTTGTTCATATTTCTTCATTTATTTGTAGATTAGTCACAACATTTACCAACACCAAATAAATACATCAAACATGCTCAGATCACGATTTAGCAACAAGCTTATAAAACTAATTCTGCAGATCTATTATGAGCAAAAGTTAAAAAATAAAAATTAACAGTACCTGAGACTCATGTGGAATAAAGGAAATGTTTATTTCTTTACATCTTCTTATTGACTTGGAGCAAGATGCTTTAATCTTGTTAAAGAGGCTGTCAGGGCAAACTAGGGGGGAAGCACAAGTCCATAAACCTTTTGAATAAACCATCCTAACATGCAATCATTTTCTTATGCATAGCAACTGGATATTACAAAGCATACTACCCTGCAGACAGACAGTCAATACAAGCCACAACACAGATGGGGAGTAACAGGCTTCTTTTGTTGTTTTTCAAGACAAGGTTTCTCTGTGTAGCCCAGGCTGTCCTGGAACTTGCTCTGTAGACCAGGCTGGCCTCGAACTCAAGAGATCCTCCTGCCCCTGCCTCCCAAATGTTGGTTGGGATTAAAGGTGTACACCAGCACCGCCCGCTGACTTCTTGTTTACACACAGTTACATAACAGAACATATGAAACATAAATGTCTCGGGACTTCTGTCCTCTCTTCCACTTTCCAGGTATTATACAATGGGAAAAATATGGTAGATTTTTTTCTCCCATAAAATATGCCAAACAAGGGCTGGAGAGATGGCTCAGAGGTTAAGAGCATTTTCTGCTCTTCCAAAGGTCCTGAGTTCAATTCCCAGCAACCACATGGTGGCTCACAACCATCTGTAATGGGGTCTGGTGCCCTCTTCTGGCCTACAGGCATATACACAGACAGAATATTGTATACATAATAAATAAATAAACAAGCATTAAAAAATATGCCAAACAAATATTTTCTTTGGTACCTTCCAACAGGCTGCTTTCTGCTAATTGGAATTATGGTTAAGATTCCTAACGCTCATACACGGTAACTATAAAGCAGAGACTCTAAGGCCAACAGGACGTTGAATGATGAGGTAAGGCACTTACAGTCAGTGAAGTACAGATACGCGGCTTTATATTTGTTCTCAGACTTACTTCCAAAATCTCGCAAGAAACAATCTACAGACTTAAAAAGAAGTGAGATGTTAACACATATTTTATTAAATACTGATTTCAATATGCTAGCTTTGAAGTAACCAAGTTTATTATATCTCAATAAAATAACCCCTTACTGGCTAAAAGTCTACCTACAAACAGATCTTTAAAGCTAACCACTTCTCCAGTCAGTGTCAGCTAAGACCACAGAATAAGGTCACACGCGAGAAGGAAACATGGCATCTCAAGTTGCAGTAAGACTAAACACCTCCCCTTGTGTTAAGGCTGGGGAAGGTTACCCAGTATTAGTAGGGTCCCACAATCCAGCAAAGGAGTCAGAGATGGCCCCTGCTCCCACTGTTAGACTTGTTTATCTGCTCCTTGAAAATTATAGACCAACAGGAGCTTTGTAAACCACAAATTCTGCAAAGAAACTACCATTTTTATCATTAAATTCTTTAAAAAATGATAATGATTTGAATGGGAAAATGAAAACAACAAGTTAATGCTCTCTGCCTTCCAACTGATGCTTCTTCTCTTGCAAAACTCCATCTCTGTAACACTACACAGATCTAAGTCTCTAATGACTAACTTTTCCTTTTGCCTTACAGGTATCCATTTTGATCTTAGAGACCACTGATTCAAATTTCTGGAGAGAACCCTTTCCTTCCATCAGCTGTCTCAACAGCTGTGTGGGTCTCTCCGCGCTGTGCTTCTTTTCTGCTCACGACAGCAAACTCCTCAAGCACTGATGTCCCTAGCTGGACGTCCTCTCTGTGGCAGCCGGACCTCCTCAGGTATGTGGCTGGATGCTTTCCTTTATCAGTCACACGGGAATCAGGCTCAACTCTGGGACAATCCTAAATACAGCCACTTCCATAGGAGCAGGAAGGAAATTTCACAATCTTCACAGTGCTCCCAAAGACTCCAAAGCCTCACTCACTTGCCCAGAGGCCTATAAGGCTTGCAGGCCACCCATTCAAGGTGAGAAGAGATGCTGAGTTGGTTGTGGGTAGTACTAGGGCCGTGTCAGGTACTGCCTTCTCTAAATTGCTACTTTACTGAATATGTAATTGTATATTCTTTTGTCACTGAACATTAAAAATGAATTTCCAAGTAATTAAATCTATATAAATCTTATTTTTAATGACCACATGGTCTTTTATACTACAATTTATCAATTATCAGAATTTAATCAATTTATTTCTATCATTGATGGACATCTTAATTTAACCATTTATTCCTTACTGAATATTTAAAAAATATTTTAAAAAACTTCTTGAAAATGGCAAACCCAGTTTCTTATACAGATAGTCTTACTATCAGTATAAGAGTATATGTTAAGAGCCGGGCGGTGGTGGTGCACGTCTTTAATCCCAGCACTCAGGAGACAGAGGCAGGAGGATCTTTGTGAGTTCGAGTCCAGCCTGGCCTACAAGAGCTAGTTCCAGGACAGGTTCCAAAGCTACAGAGGAAAGCTTGTCTTGAAAAACGGAAAGAGTATATGTTGTTTTGCTTCATTTACCATAGATAGCTAGAATAACTAAGAGTGAGAGAGCGCGCAGGAGCACACACACAATCCTTCTGACGATTTGCTAGGTGCTATATAGACCAGGTAGGCCTCAAATTCAGAGATCCATCTCCTCCTGCATTCCAAGATCTGGAATTAAAGGCATGAGCCACAGGCTCAGCTAAACGGTGTTTTTAGGTTGAGTTCTTTTCCAGTCATATTTTTTTTCTTGTTGTACTATATTACTTCATGGGTAAATGATAAAATATCATTTTAAAAAACCCACTGTGTTCCTAGCAGCCAATATGCAGATGCATTTTTTTGTGCATTGTTTTTCTGTTTGCTCACTTCTCAAGTGGGGTGAAAAAAGGTGCTGGAAAAAACGCCTTCTCAGACATTACAAAGAGCTGGGCGCGGTGGCTTATGCCTGTAATCCTAGCATTTAGGAGGCTGAACCAGGAGTCTATGAGTTTAAGACCAGCCTGAAGTCACTTTAAATAGTGACTTCCAGGCTGGTTTAAAACACATAGTGAGAACTTGTCTCAAAAACAAAAACAAAAAAGCCAAACAAGAAGATATTGCATGGAAAAAACATGAATCCAATTCTATACTTCAAGTTTGGCTCAAGAAGCAAGTCAAGTCATATTTGTCAAAAGAAAAACTGAAGAAATTTCTTTGACATAAAACACACTTATAAAAAATAAAAAACACATATACACACATAGATCTATATATAAACATGTATACTATAGGAAAATCAGTAAGATAAAGACATTGCTCAAGGATGGGGAGGTGGCTCAAGAGGCTAAAAGTGCTTACAGTTCTTCATGAGGACCCAGCACCACAGGGGAGGGGAGGGGCTTACAATGGCCTGTAACTCCAGTTCCAGGGATCTGGTGCCCTTTTCTGGCTTTCATGGGCACCAAGCACATGCATGATGCACATATGTACATGTAGGCAAAACACTCATACACATAAAATATAGACAAATACGTCTTTTTAAAATTATCTTTTAAAAGACTTATTTGTCTACATTTCCATCTCTTTCAAAATTAAGGGTCAATAAGGAGCTATGTGAATCTCAAATGCTGTAAAGAAACTACCATTTTATAGCATTAATTCTGCTTTTATATATGATAGGAGAAAGGAAATCTTTCCTTATACATTTCTACTAGGAGGAATACAAATAAAACATAATACAGAAAAACTTTCATAAATAAAGCAGTTAATAGAAATAATCTAATAAGGCATATTTACTACTTAGTGAAGAAACTGATCATTGAGTGTCACTATTAAGGGCTGGGGGCTGGAGAGGCGCTCAGCAGTGACGCTTGCCTGAAGTTCCCATTACAGGGGACCTAATACTCCCTTCCGGCCTCTGTAGGTACCTGCACACGTGTGCACACGTAAAAAAGCAGAAACACTACCATACATACAAAATAAAAATCAATTAACAAAGTCTTAAGTTCTGGGCTTACAGTGCCTTGTACGTGTGAAAGCACACCCCAGCCCCAAACCTCACTCTCAGGACTGAAAATACTCACTTTTGATGTTGGAGAGATAAAATAAAGAGCTTTCATTTGTCTGACAGGTTCACGATTCTTATAAATATTCTCCACAACTGAAAACAACAAAAAAAGTCATTTGATAGAACCAAAGTTTAAAATATTTTAAAATAAACTTCATTGTATTTTACATTTATAATAATAATAAAGAAACACATTTTTATATATTGGACCTTTTTCATGAATAAATCCTTTAAAAAAAATAAAAAGTATCTTCTTTTCTTTGAGACTGTCCATGCATTGTGTCGGCACCGAGGGACAGACCTTTTACAGGTGGGCACCGGAGTACTGAACAAGCATCAATGTGCCAGAAGAAACAAGAAATGCATCAAAAAGTAAAATAAATTCTTGTCTCAGTGTAAAGGAACCTACTGCTAAGGCTGATGTCCTAGGTTGGTCCCCAGGATCCTCTCCCACAGCAGACAGGAAGAACTGACACCAGCAGGTGGTCCTGTGTCCCTTCCCCCTTCTCTCTCTCTCTCTCCTACTAACATTGGATGGACAATAAGGAACAACGGTCTATAAAAGAATCAAAGCCCCCACAGTGCAGTTAGCTCTGCAGTTCCATAGTACTCTATGTATTTATCAATGGGTTTCACTCTAGTTTCTACCAGAGCAGCCTCTAGGAATTTTTTTTTGTTTTGTTTTGTTTTGTTTTTTCGAGACAGGGTTTCTCTGTGGTTTTGGAGCCTGTCCTGGAACTAGCTCTTGTAGACCAGGCTGGTCTCGAACTCATAGAGATCCGCCTGCCTCTGCTTCCCGAGTGCTGGGATTAAAGGCGTGCGCCACCACCGCCCGGCTTAGCCTCTAGGAATTTAAACAAGTTACTTGGCTTCATTAATTCTCAGGGCCAGTGAGATGACTCAGCAAGTAAAGGCACCTACTGCCAAGTCTGACTGATGTCCTAAGTTCAGTCCCCAGAACTCCACAGTCGACAGAAAGAACTGACTCTTGAAGGTTGTCCTGTGACCGCCACATGTACAACACACACTTGACAAAATGTGATGAAATTTAAAAGTAAATATTTTTATTTCTTTTAAAAAACATGCTAGTGTAATAGCAAATGCAAACTGAATATGCAATAGGTAACCAATCACTTTATTCATAAATATCAAAACATAAATATTATACATTCAGGATTTCTGAGGAATACTGGACCGACCTCCACATCTCACAACTGAGGGCCGACATGTCTGCTATGGCTAGAGCTCTATGAACGGAAGGAGTATCACTAGCCCAAAGCCAAAGTCTTCAGGAGCAGGGCAGCACTTACCAGTTACCCCCTCTTCTAGAAGGTCTGTCATCTTGCAGCAGGACGACAGAAGCTTGGTGGTAAACTCGTCCAAGAGCATTATCTTAAAACAGAGCAAGAGAGAGCATAAGCAGCTGCTGTCAAGAATTACAATTAACAAACAGGATTTTAGTAATTCCTCTTCAGCTGCATAATTTGGTGGTTTACTTTCTCAATACACATACATGTAAATATTACATACAAGTAAGGAAATAGAAATATTTCTATTTCGAAGCAGCACTTGTTCATTTTAAATATATCTAATATTAACATCAAATTTTCCAAAAATGTAATTGTCATTTACAGAATTATTGCCAAGAAGTACTGCTCAGACATTTAGTATCTGTATAATACAATGTGTCACCATCCCCAGCCTCTGGACGAGGACACAGGGAAATGTTAGGCGACTTGTCCAAGGTGCCACAGCTTGGAGGCAATGACGTCTGAAAGTGACATAGGCCTATGACCTCATGGAAACACCCTAAGTACAATATTCCGAAGCCCGCCCTCCACAGAAGAGCAAATTACACTCCTACCTTCCATTCGCCTTCTTTCCGGCAGTCATCGAACACGGCTGTTTTTATCTCTGTTAAGACAAAAAAAAAAAAAGGGTTAGAAATCTAGAGCAACAATTAGAATGCAGGACTGTGTTAAAGGTTCAAAACGGCCGAGAACAACTGCAACCTGGAATATGTGGAGGAGCTACATAAACACTGCAGAGTAAGCTCTAAGTAAAAATACCACAATTCAACACCTAACCTGCAGATTTAAACTGTGATAGATCCTCAAACATGTGCATGAACATGTCCAGAAAATAGTTCTGAAACTATTATCTGACTTAGGTTTTCCTTCTTTCTTAAATCTTTTTTTTAAATATTTATTTATTTATTTATTATGTATACAATATTCTGTGTGTATGTCTGCAGGCCAGAAGAGGGCATCAGACCTCATTACAGATGGTTGTGAGCCACCATGTGGTTGCTGGGAATTGAACTCAGGACCTTTGGAAGAGCAGGCAATGCTCTTAACCACTGAGCCATCTCTCCAACCCCCTTAAATCTTAAAAATAAATAAATAAATAAATAAATAAATAACCCATAGGAAGATCCTTCACTGGCTCAAGGCAAATCTGCATACGTGTTTTTCATCCTCATTTACTTTCCTGTTAAAGAATACATGCGGCTGGGGCTGGGAAAATAGCTCGGTGATTAAGAACACCTGGATGCAGAGGACCTGGGTTGGGTTGCAACATCCGTATCAGAAAGCTCATCATCACCTGTAACTTCAGTTTTAGGGCATCTGACATCTTTCAAGGACGATCTTGAACCAATTCCCTTCCAGTCTCTACCTCCCAAATGTTTGGATTATAGGCACACACCACCATGCATCTTTTTTTCTCTTTTTAATTGTTTTTTTATTGATATTTATTGAGTTCTACATTTATCTCTGCTCCCTGCCTCTCCCCTTCCCTTCAACCCTCCCCCAAGGTCCCCATGCTCCCAATTTACTCAGGAGAGCTTGTCTTTTTATACTTTCTACTTCCCATGTAGATTATATCTATGTAAGTCTCTCTTAGTGCCCGCATTGTTGTCTAGGTTCTCTGGGATTGTGTTTTGTAGGCTGGCTTTCTTTGCTTTATGTTTAAAAACCACCTATGAGTGAGTATATGTGATAGTTGTCTTTCTGGGTCTGGGTTACCTCACTCAAAATAATGTTTTCTAGTTCCATCCATTTTCCTGCAAAATTCAAGCTGTCGTTATTTTTTTTCTGCTGTGTAGCACTCCATTGTGTAAATGTACCACATTTTTCTTATCAATTCTTCGATCAAGGGACATTTAGGTTGTTTCCAGGTTCTGGCTATGACAAACAAAGCTGCTATGAACATAGTTGAGCACAATGTCCTTGTGGCACGATTGAGCATCCTTTGGATATATACCCAAAAGTGGTATTACTGGGTCTTGAGAAAGGTTGTTTCCTAATTTTCTGGGAGATTGCCACACTGACATCCAAAGGGGCTGTACCAGTTTGCACTCCCACCAGCAATGCAGGAGTGTTCCCTTTACCCCACAACCTCTCCAGCATAAGTTGTCATTAGTATTTTTGATCTTGGTGATTCTTACAGGTGTAAGGTGGAATCTCAGGGTTGTTTTGATTTGCATTTCTCTGATGACTAAGGATGTTGAATATTTTCTTGTGTCTTTCAGCCATTTTAGATTCATCTGTTGAGAGTTCTCTGTTTAGGTCTGTACTCCATTTTTTGATCGGATTATGTGTTCTTTTGGTGTCCAATTTCTTGAGTTCTTTGTATATTTTGGAGATCAGACCTCTGTCTGATGTGGGGTTTGTGAAGATCTTTTCCCATTCTGTAGGCTGTTGTTTTGTCTTGTTGACCATGTCCTTTGGTTTACAGAAGCTTTTCAGTTTCAGGAGATCCCATTTATTAATTGTTTCTCTCAGTGTCTGTGCTGCTGGGGTTCTATTTAGGAAATGGTTCCCTGTGCCAACACGTTCAAGTGTACTTCCCACTTTCTCTTCTATAAGGTTCAGTGTGGCTGGCTTTATGTTGAGGTCTTTGATCCATTTGGACTTGAGTTTTGTGCATGGTGATAGATATGGGTCTATTTTCATTTTTCTACATGTTGATATCCAGTTATGCCAGCACCACTTGTTAGATATGCTTTCTTTTTTCCATTTGATATTTTTGCTTCTTTATCAAATATCAGGTGTTTAAAGATGTACCACCATAAATCTTAATTTGTTTAAACTTTCCTATTCTTTTAAAGATTTATTTGTACATCGACATTTGTTTTGCCTTCATCTACATCTGTGTGACACTGTTGAATCTCCTGGAACTGGAGTTACAGACAGCTGTGAACTGCTGTGTGGGTGCTGGGAATTGAACCTGGGTCCTCTGGAAGAGCAGTCAGTGCTCTTCACCACTGAGCTATCTCTCCAGGCCCCTAAACTTTTCTATTTTTAAATTAAAATGTCTTCGGTAAAAACTTTTTGGAAGTTTACCACCAAGTTTTTGACACCATGTTTTTCTAAAGAAAGACAATTCTAACACTCTAATGAATAAACATTACTGTGACATAATAAAAAAAAAATATCGGGGGGGGGAGCTGAGGAGATGAGTGGTTAAGAGCAAGTACTGCTCCTGTGGAGGACTAGAGTTTAGTTCCCAGCACCACACCGGGTGGCTCATATCCACCTGTAACTTGAGCCCTCCTCTACCCTCCACAGACAACTATGCTTCTGTATACATACCCATATAAACATACACATAATTAAAAGTAAAAATACATCTTTCAAAAAATATGTTCTTTCTAGTTCCTGTCATAAATCTAAAAATCCTTGAAACTTCTTATGTGACAGAGAATCTATGGCAGGCTGGAGACCTGACTCTTTTAGCTTCAGCAAGCAGCAAGCAGTCTTCACCAGAAGACCAAGCTATGACTTCTAAGGAGACAACAGGGGCAATGACCAGTGGCCTCTGATTTAATCAGTAAGGCCTACACAACGCAACTCCCATAACCCACCCACTTTCTGAGTCACTGAACACAGTCATGTGTAGCAATGGAGACACGCCCGGCTCACAGGGAGGGAAGCCCCTTCTGGACCTCCATCTACAGACTTCAGCTGGCTGTGGATTTGTATGCTTTAGAAAAACAACAAAGAACAACTGAACGACAAAAACCCTAGTAACAGGAAGTAGTTTACTAGAGTCAGAAGGCCCGAGTTACTGAACCTGAGAGGGAAGGCAGAGTCTAGGAAGCCCCAACTGCACACCCAAGCCGGGCAGTGTGGGAAGCTGCTTGCTACTGTCATCTGAATTGGGGCAGTCTTATGGGTCTGAATCCTTAACCGTGCCAAAGCTGGCCCTAAATCGAGTCAGAATTACACTGAATGGCAGGATACCCCATCAGCATGTGAAGAGCTGGAGAACTAGTTAGTAAGAAGGAAAATAACATATTTGCTGTTAGAAGTGTTCCGAGAAAAAGCAGTATTCAAAAGTTGTGCTCTAGGAGCTGGAGAGATGGCTCAGAGGTTAAGAGCACTGCCTACTCTTCCAAAGGTCCTGAGTTCAATTCCCAGCAACCACATGGTGGCTCACAACTATCTGTAATGGGGACTGGTGCCCTCTTCTGGGCTGCAGGCATACACACAGACAGAATATTGTATACATAATAAAAAAAAAAAAGAAAAGTTGTGCTCTAGGGCTGGAGAGATGGCTTAGTGGGACCGGACCATCTGAGCTTGACCCCAGACTCCACGACAGAATGAGAGAACCAACTCCTTTAAGTTATCCTCTGACCTCCACTGGCACACTGCGGCCTGTGCGAGCCCATACCACCTTACATACATCCCACACGGATTTTACAACCTTTGATCTGATTTTGTAATCAGGAAGATTTTTGAAGGGTTAAGAAACATCACCCAAAAGTTGAGCATGGAGGCATGGTACCCAAATCCCCAGTAACAGGAAGACAAAGGCAGAAGAATTCAAGATTATCACCAGCTACATAGAGGTGGAGGCCGGCTGGGCTCCACAAAATCCATCTCAAACCAAACCCAAACAAAGCAAAACCAGTAGGGGCCGAGGAGTGTGGGCTGTGCAAGCACAAGGAACGGACCCTGACTCCAAGCATTCATGTGGGAAGTCAGCTGTGCGCAAGCGTCTGCACCCAAGCTGGGAACGGGATGGGGAGCGGGCGAAGGCGGCTCCCGGAGCTCACTGGCCAGCCAAGATGAACGATGAGCTCCAGGTTCAGGGAGAGACTAAGGTGGAGAGTTACAGAGGAGCACACCTACTGCCAACCTCTGGGCTCTATCTGTCACACAGGTATATACACACCAGCCCCCCACCCCTAAAAAAAGATAGAAAGATCTAGGTAGATTATGTTATAGGGGAATAACAATAAAAAAAACTCTGAAGTATTTAACTGTAATTAAACCAGAAAGCAAGAGTTTCTGTGGCACACGCCAGGCAAACATGAAGGCTGTTTTAAGGCAAAGCTCAGACACTGAGACTCCTTCACTGCATATACCACAAGCTGAGCACGGAAGACAATGCAGGTCCCGACAGTTATACTACTCTCTAAGAAACAAATGCTGCTGGAGCGGGGGCACGTCACTAGTTTTCGAACCGTATACCTGTACTGCCCTCCCTAGACGACAGGAGCTAGGACATGTGACTAGGAGCCCTGGAAACAGAGCTAGCAGTAGCCAGGCACAGTGGTTCGTACTTGGAAAATTCTGGCACCCAGGAGGATGAGCAGGGCTGCTGTGAGCTCCAAGTCTTCCTGTGCTAGAGTAAACCTGACTTAAAAAAAAAATCATGAGATATAAAATAACACAAAAGAGAGCGCTGGAATGTGGCTCAGTGGCAGAAGACAAGCATCTGTGAAGCTTGGGTTCCATCCCTAGCACCACCAAAACAAGAGAAACAGAACAAATTTAAAGCTTAAAAGTGGGGGGGGGGGGTTCAAAATATCCTATGAATTCCTTTTCCCTACTTTATTAATTCTTATATTAAATACTTTTGATTATGTCAGGTTAAGTAAATTACAATTAATTTCATCTATT